TTGCCTAGATGTGTAGGCTCTGCTACCCAGCTAGGTCCCTGGGGGCAATATCCATCCCTATCTATGGTACAGAAACACCATGCAAGTATGGGACCCAGATACAGCGTTGTTACTGCTTTTGACCCGAGTGGTTAGCCAATAATTAGGGTCTAGCAGATTATTTTTGTGAGCCTAAGAAATTGATGCAGTCAGGTATTTCTTGGATGCAATCCTGTTTACTTACAAAAAATGCATACAGTCCTGTTTCCCAGAACACAGTAGGAATCAAACAGATGGAGACAGATTCTTTGCTCTCAGTGCCAAGCCTTTTTCCAGCTCCAGCCCTTTATCCACAAGCTCTCTTTCATCTTTTCTGAAGGTCATGCTACAAGACCTTCTCCGGATGTGGCTAGGGCTTCCTTACTGCCTTCTCTGTGCGCTTCAGTGGTGTTTCTGCTGCTTCTCTCTTTCTCTCACATAGACATACAGCTGCAATCCAGTCAAACCCCTGCCCCAGCATTTGTTATCGGATCCCCTGGAAAACCCCTTGGACCATATGGCACAGCCACTGCCCAGGCTTGCATGCAGCCTAGTCCCTGTTTCAGCTTTCACTAACCAAAGGGGCATGTAATTGTTCCCTCACTTGACCTGATGGAAGTCAACTATCCTGCCCAAAAACTTCCATGAGGAGGTGTGATTGCCCAACACCCAACATGACAACACTCCTGTCTCAGCTCCGGTCATCATCTCTATGGAGTCCCAAATGGTGATGCCCTATGTGACCCATCCAACTATAGACGTGTTTACGTAGTGTTTTTCTGTCAGGATATTTCCACATCACAAACCCAAATTGGTTTTTACTCCCATACAAACCTCCTCTGAGTTCTTCTCTTCCTGCCCAATTTCGTTTCACCCACCTGAGAGGGGCCTCTTTCAATGAGCTCTTGAGGAACAAAGACCTGTGCACACCCAATCGCACTTTCCTACTACAGTACAAAGGCAATAATTTTTGCAAACCTCACCTTTGAGCAGAGCTCAAAGTCTGTAGACAGCCCTCTCTTCAGTCCTTCTGTACCGTGGTGTACATACCGTGTACACAGTTCAGCACTGAAGAGGTAAAACCAAGAAATGGGCCTGTCTCATCATGCAAAGACTACATTAGCTGCCAGCTCTACAAAGAAGGACCTTCATCTTTTTTTTTTTTTTCCAATGAAGGCTTTATCAACCCTAGGGAACTTTAGTAAAATAAATTCTCACTAATGTTACCACTGGTTCAGCTGCACCAGTAATTGCACTGACGGGAGGCCTAGTATAGAAAGTTTTCCAGCTCAGCAGCAGTGTTCAGGATCTCGACATTTAGACTTACTCTCCTCAGCAGTGTTAATTGACACTGAAAAAAACTGCCAGAGCCTGAAAGCCGTCTACACTAGGGCTGTTACCAGTGCTATTACTGGTGTTACCAGAGGTAGCACCTGTGGCAATTTTTTAGACATGGGCTAAGAGACCACCCAGAGCTTTGGTGGAGCAAAGCTCTGCTACCCTCCACAATGGGTATTGTGCATAATGCATGGCTCAGTCACGGTAAAAAATAGATAATTTCACACTATGGTCATGCAGCCTTGTGGAACTTTCTGCAGCACATTAACTGCTGGTTAGTTGGAAGTGTCTGCACCCAAATTTCACTCTCGCTGACATAACTGCCCCACTACGCTGACATAATAACTCCATCTTCATGGGTGGCGTAGAGTCACGGTCAATGTAGTTAGGTTAGGTCAACACTGTGTTGCGTATATTGACCGTTACTGGCTTTCAGGAACCGCCCCACACTGACAGTACAATCGACACTAGTGCTCCTGGTGAGGACCTGCACCGCCGACACAAGGAGCGAAGTGTAGACATGCACAAGCAATATAATAACTGCAGCTGTTATATGCCAAAAGGTGTTAGGTCAACTTTATTTTATAGTGTAGACATGGCCTAAGGAACCCATGCAAATATGAGTCTCTGTGGACAAAGGAGGAGCCTCGTGAGCAGATATGTGGGAGTACGTACTTCCCTATCTGCTGAATTAACAGGCAGAGCAACACATCGATGGCACTTTACAACAGTGGTTCTCAACCTTTTTTCATTTTACAGACCCTAAAAAATTTTGAATGAAGGTGTGGGCCCCTTTGGAAATCTATGGTCTGTATATATAGTAGAATTCTGTTCAGTCAGTTTTCAATCTGTCTTTTGCAGACCCCTTAGACATAGTCTGGGTCCATGGACCACAGGTTCAGAACCACTGCTATGCAAAACCAGTTGGGCAGTATATGACACTAGACAGCTCCAGAAGGTGCTAACTAGTGCAGCATTTCACAAAAATCTGGTGGCTCACACAATAATCAGTATCACTAAAGTAATTTTCAAAACAATTGTCCCTAGCAAAAAGGTACCATGGATGCTTCATCTGTCCCTTCCATTACACAGCACCTCTCAGCTCCCCCTCATTCCTCTTCCTCAGAACACCTCCCAGCTCCCCCCCCCCACTGCACCTCTCAGACCCCTCATTTCTCTCACTCAGAACACCTCCCCGCTCCCCCCTCACCCTGCTACACCTCTCAGCTCCCCCCTATCCCCCTCCCTCAAGATACCTCCCAGCTCCCCCCCCACACTGCACCTCTCAGCCCCCCTCATTCCTCTCTCTCAGGACACCTCCCAGCTACCTCCCCTCAACACACACACACTGCACCTCTCAGCTCCCCCCCATCCCTCTCCCTCAGGACACCTCCCAGCTCCCCCCCCACACACACACACACACTGCACCTCTCAGCTCCCCTTCATCCCTCTCCCTCAGGACACCTCCCAGCTCTTCCCTCCCCCCACTGCATCTCTCAGCTCCCCCTCATTCCTCTCCCTCAGGACACCTCCCAGCTCCTCACTCCTCCCCAACTTCAGCTCTCAGCTCCCCCCCCCATCCCACAGGACACCTCCCAGCTCCCCACACACACACACTGCACATCTCAGCTCCACCTGCTCCCTGTGCCTCATGGCTCCACTCCCCGCCATGGTGCCTCTGGGCTCAACCCCAACCCTTTACAGTGTGGCTCCATTTCACCTCCCCACACAACCGTCCATCTTCACCCCACCCACTCCTCTTTATGGCATCCCCCTGGTCCACCTCACCCCTTCCCCATCCTGGCAACTCACTGCTTCACCCCACCCTGCCCCACACTGGGTGCCTCTGGGACAGCCCCTTTGTTCTAGGTAGGGAGCTGTGTTCCCTTTTGCTGTGCCTTTCTGGAGCCTGGGGCTCCGTGGTAACAAGGTTTGTTCAGAATGGATGCAGGTCTATTTTGATCAAGGAAAATTAGATTTCTAAGAAATAAGGGGTTTATAAACACCAAGTTTCTTAACTTTTTTAATCCGATTGGCTTGATGTACTTGGACTGCATTCCAGCATATTTTAAGCCCTTTTTAACCCTACTAAAAGAGGTTCTTAAGCTCAATGTGAATGCGATCTAATGTTTTGCAATTTTTTAAGCAGTCACATATGACTGTACTTCTGTTTACTCAATAACAGGTGTTCTGAGGCTGACTTCTGTTGGACTAACAAAAGGGGGAACTTTTTTGCTGAAGACCAGGACTCTTGCCATCTAAGATCTGAGATGGTCAGGAATGAGAAATCAGTTCTCTCTCATGGCAAAGCAACTACGGTTCTGCTGGTACATATAATGGAAGGACACATGAATTAACCCGATAATTTGAGTATTTTTTAAAGAAAAATAAAAAAGTAGATGAAGTGGTTTATTTATATTATTTGTGAATGCTAATATTGTACAAAAGAGCATCACCGCAGTATATGCCATGCTCAGAATTGCCAGCTTCAAGAATTAAAAAATGATGAATCAGGCCCTCACAATTAAAGATCAGCTTAAAATAATGACATTTTTAAAGATGTGCTAACTAAAAGAATAAAGACTATGTGCTAACTACTTATGTTAAACTATCTGTTTGATCTTGTAATTAGCTGTGACACTATACCTACCCTTCCCAGATCTGAGGAAGAGCTCTGTGTAGCTTGAAAGCGTGTCTCTCTCACAAAAAGAGATGTTGTTTCAATAAAAGATATCACCTCGCCCACCTTGTGTCTCTAATATCCTGGGACCCACGTGGCTACAACAACAGTGCATACAACTATGGAAGATCTTCCAAAAAGGGAAGATTTGAGGCTGGTCAATAATTGATGGGGTTACTAGAGCTGAGATTGTTTCTTGAGCAAGGTCACAATGTTGCCTGTTTTAAGGATGGTTGTCACATTTCTTTTGAAGCAATTTACAGTCTTTGTCCATAATGGACCTATTACCTCCCCACAAGTTTTCACTCATCATGAGGATCCGGGGGGCAGATGGAAAGTGTATAGCGGTGCCTTCGGGGCTGAGCCTGGGAGCAATGCAGTTCTGAAAGGGGGGTGAGGGAGAATACAGTAGTGTTGTGAATCTGGCAGAGGATCAGGGACAGGGGAGCGTATAGCAGTAACCTCAAGGTGAGGCAAGCATATGGGAAGACCACACCATAATTTTGTGGATTTGAGCCACAAGGGGACCGAAAAGCTGCTCTGTGTGGGCGTGTACAGGGCAGCAGGATGTGAGTGTGCCATTTATGTGTGAGGGCAAATCAAATGGGAAATGTACTTATAGATTTTGAATCTCTGTCTTTCAAATCAAGGCTGGATTCTTACCTTTGTCCCAGGCTGCGACTGATACCCCAGCGAGCTTTTCTATCTCTAGTTTACTGAGATTTGAGTTTTTCACCCTACCCCTCAGCACTTTGAAAGGTTTTACACAATTCACTGCATGTGAATGAAAATGAAGTGGAATGTTCTGTGGATTAACTGCCCTGTAATCCTCTGTGTAAGAGCAGAGAATTAAAATTCTCTGAAGCAGCCTCCCCGTGGAGCACCTCTGCGTGCCTGACCTAGTTTCATCTGCAGCTACTCGGGCAAACACATGACGATTAGAGGAACACTGAACAGCAGTCACCTGGTTTTGGTTTGGAGAAGCATCCTCCCATGGTGCGCCGAGTAGAAGGAGAGAATCACAGCAGGAATAGGAGGCAAGTCAGCGAGTAGATGCTTCAGCCCAATCTCCAGAAGGGATAGACCATTAGGGCTTAAAGTGAGCAATCAGCTCATGAGGATGACTGGCATGTCCTTTCATGGTAAACTGGCCAGTCATTCCAGCTCGGGTATTAGGCTGCCTTCATAACCTACATTAAATGGAAAAGCTCAATTAAAAATGAATAACTGGAATACATTCAAACACATACTTTATTTTTCTTGTTTTTAAGTCATCCCAGATGTTGTTTCCTTCACATCATCATGCACCCATGGGCTAGGCAACACAAATCCACAAGTCAGAGGCACTTCCCTTACATGAAATAATGGCTCACAAATCATGTTCAAGTAAGCCTCATGAGTCTCTTTGTAAACTGATTAACACGTTGGAGATTGGGGCCTCCAAATCAGAGACAAACTCATTTCCAGACATCTAGTGCTAGATTCACAAAGGGATTTTCAGTCACCGACAATCCCTGGGATTCACAAAGTCACAGTTAGGCATTCAGGCTTCCTCTCCAATGAATTGAGGGAGATAGGATTGGCCACTGTCAGAAGACAGGATACTGGGCTAGATGGACCTCTGATCTGACCTAGTCTGGCCATTCTGATAGGTATCTAGGGATTCACAGAAGCCAGCATGCTGGGCGGGGAGCTGGCCATGCTAGCCCAGGGGAGATGCAAAGGAGAGAGATGTTTCTTAAGCCCTGGCCCTCTTCGGGAGTTCAGCACTCTTTAACTCGCCATACAAAAAGGAACAGCTTCAGCAGGAGAGACCAAGGGAGCACAACATCAGAATGTCCCATAGGCCAGTGTCTAGGGCATATACCTGAGAAGTGGCCGATCCCTGTTCAAATCCCTTCTCCCCCAGGCACAGGGGGTACTTGACTGACCTTCTAGGTGAGCACCCTAACCACTGGGTGAAATGTTGTGAGCGAACTGTCGTTCCGTCCACCTGGCTGTTTTGTGTGGAGTTAGGTGTGGCTCTGAGTGCACCTACTGGCGTGGGCCTGGCAGGGAACTTCAGCAGAGCAATGCCTGTCTTACCTGGTTCATGAAAGGCAGCCAGTCTGGATTTGAAGAGCCCACAAGATGGAGACTCCCTAACTTCCCTTGGTAGTTTGTTTCAATGATTAATCATCCTCAGGGTTAAAAAATTATTTCTAATTTTATTTTGTCTAGCTTCATCTTCCAGCCATTGGTTCTTGTTATGCCTTTCTCTGCTAGATTAAAGAGCAGAAGTGGGCAAACTATGGCCTGCAGGCCACATCTGGCCCACAGGACTATCCTGCCCGGCCCTTGAGCTCCCCATCAGGGAGACTAGCCCCTGGCCCCTCTCCCACTGTCATCCCCCGCCCCCGCAGCCACGCCACTGTGTAGGCAGCACTCTGGGCGGTGGGTCTATGTGCTCATGCAGGGCAGTGCGTCTGGCTCTGGCCAGGCGGCGCGGCTGCCAGACATGCTGCTCTGAGCGGCATGGTAAGGGGGCCGGGGCTGGGAGGCCCCAGGGGGCAGCCAGGGGACAGGGAGCAGGGGGCGGTTGGATAGGTGTGGGAGTTCCGGGGGGCCTGTCAGGGGGTGGTTGGATGGGGCGGAGGTTCTGGGGGGGTGGTCAGGGGATGGGGAACAGGGGGAGTTGGAAAGGCGTGGGAGTCCCAAGGGGCCTGTCATGGGGCAGGGGTGTGGATAGGCGTCAGGGCAGTCAGGGGACAGGGAGCAGGGGGGTTGGATAGGGGTGAGGTCCCGGGGGGGTGGTTAGGGGCGGGGGGGCCCCAGGGGGCCTGTCAGGGGGCAGGGGTGTGGATAGGGGTTGGGGCAGTCAGGAGACAGGGAGCAGAGGGTTTGGATGGGGTGGGGTCCTGGGAGGGGGCAGTCAGGTGGCAAGGAGCGGGGGGGTTGGATGGGTCGGCGGTTCTGAGGGGGACAGTCAGGGGGTGGGAAGTGGGAGGGGTCGGATAGGGGGCAGTGCCAGGCTGTTTGGGGGGCACAGCCCAGGCCCTCCATACCGTTTTGCAACCCCAATGTGGCCCTTGGGCTAAAACTTTTGCCCCCCCTGTTAAAGAGCCTGTTGGGACCCATTATTTTCTCCCTGTGGAGTTACTTATCCACTATAATCAAGTCGCCTAACAATCTTCTTTTTGATACTCTAAACAGACTGAGCTCTGTATGTGCATGTCTAAATTACCACAGTTCTGACTCTAAGGGGGAGTGACTAACAGTGTGCATCAAAGGGCTGCGCTGTAACTCCCGTGTGTGGATGCTGCGAGTGTGAATGTAAAGGTTTCAACTACCTTAGCGCCAACTCTGGACTTGTAAATTTATGCCCACAATGTTACACTTTGGGGTGCTCTGCTATTCACACCCCTTTAGTCACAACCGTGGGGCAATGCAGGCATGCCCCAAGTCTCTCATTGTAAGGTATTTCTGGCTTTTTTCTGCATCATCTCCAATTTTTCAAAATCCTTTTAAAAATCTGGACAAAGGAACAGTCTGCACTATTCCATCTGGCTGTGATGGAATCTGTGGCTGCAATTATAACTTCTGTTCTTTGTATTGCTGTCAATCTGTACTTTTCTTTGTTGATTTTTAAACTAAGAGCAAGGACGAGATGAAGAATATGATGAATGGAATCTTTCATCAGCTCTGTGGGGATCTTCCCCAGACTAACCAATTATCCAAATATGGATGGACTATTATGTCCTGTCTTCTTAGCTGCCATGGCTTGGTAAATACTCCCAGTGCTACAGAGAGTCTGAAAATGAAAACCTAGTATTGGTAGTTCTTCTGGCTGATCAGGAATCTTAAATCCAGCTCAATCACAACGTGCAATTATGCATTTTGCAAGTCTAGAGTTGCAAACTAGTCTAGCAGATCTAGAGGTGGAATCATTGATGCTAGGGTCACTATTCTGAACTTGATGTGATGAATGAAGATGCTGATCCTGCTCATATGCAAAATGGGATGCCACCCTTCTTTGGTATCAAGAAGGAGTTGGAGTAGAAACATCTTCCTCAGAATTGAGATGGAACATCTTTTATTGCTGTGAGTGACAGAAGTGAATGCTCCTCCTGATGGCACAGTCTCTCATGAGATGAGTCCCTGAAGAGGAATATGGAAGGGGATAGGGGATTGGCACAGTATTGCAGGCTGAGATGTATGAATGGCTAAGGCAAAAATTCTCTTTCTGGTATTGCTGACTCTTCCTTGTGGGTTACTGATGATCTCTGGTGATAAAAAGTGCCCGGCCTACATCTCTGTCTTGAAAAAGTTTTTGGATTTCCCTGTTTTTTTCCATGGGTGGATATATACCCCATGAGATCACAATGTTGCTTGTGAGTCATTCAAAGTACAAAGGGTATCATCAGTATGTTTAACTAAACAGATCCCGCAAAAGGCAAATAAAGCACAAGATGGGTTATTAGCTGGTGTCTTCTAGAGACCACCAAATCACACTAGGGAACAGGATGACAGGCTCCTTATGCACCTATCTATAGTGTGTAGGGAAAAGAACTTTGTGATCATGGGAGACTTCAATTTGAGTGATGTATGCTGGAGGTCTCATGCTGCCAATACTAAAACATCCCTGATATTTCTAAACATGATAGATGACAATTTCCTATCTCAAAAAGTGTAGCATCCAACGCAGGGGAATTCTATATTAGACCTTATCTTGACAGATAATGAAGTATTGGTCACAGAACTTAAAGTTAATCATAGCTTAGGTACAAGTGATCATGACTTTATCATGTTTATAATATGCAAACAGAATAATGTCCGGAACAGGAATATTTAAACTGAGTGCTTTGAAAGGGCCAGTTTCTCAATGCTGAAAACAACTGTGAGTCAAATTAGCTGGCAGGAAGAATTTAATCAGAAAAATGACTGATAATTGGGAATTGTTTAAGAACACTTTACTAGATGCCCAAAAAAGCACAATCCCACAACCAAGGAAGAAAGCGGTCTTGATTTAAAAAATGTACCTGGTTTAAAGGGAAAGTGAAGGCAGCTATTTAAAAAAACACTAATATATTACAAATGGAAGAAAGGAGAAGTTGATTGTAATTAATACAGATCAGAAGATAGGAACTGTAGAAAATTGATAAGGAAAGCAAATGGACAGAAAGCGAAATCTATGGCCAGCAGAGTTAAGGAAAATAAGGAGGCATTTTTTAAAATCTATTAGGAACAGAAAAAATCCTGACAATGGTACTAGTCCATTAATAGATGGAAATGGTAGAATTATCAGTAATAATGCAGAAAGAAGGAGATGGAGGTCAGCTGGAGGGATGGAAACACGGAGAAGGCACAAGGTCAGTTGGAGGAGTCAGATTCATCATAAACAAGGAATGGTCTTCGAAAATTGTCTCATGCCATTTGAAATCATCACGTATCGGGGTGCTTTACCTCCGATTGAACCAAAATAGTACCCTTAAAATCATCCAGATCTATGCTCCCTCAAGTGCATGCGAAGATGATGATGTGGAAGGATTCTATCAGGAACTGGAGGGAACCCTCGCCCAGAGTTCCACATATACGATTGTGATGGGAGATTTTAACACCAAGGTTGGAAGAGGGAGAGAGGGTAAAAAGTTCACAGGAAGGTACGGTATCGGAGAACGAAACACGCGAGGAGAACGACTAGCTATATTGGCAGAGACGAGGAGAATGTTCATTGGTAACACCTGGTTCCAAAAGAAAGCCAACAGAAGATGGACCTGGATCGCACCAAACAAAGACAAAAATGAAATTGATTACGTTCTGATCGATAGACGACGCATCGTGCAGGATATTTCAGTAGTGCCATCATTCAATATCGGTCGCAATCACCGCCTACTGAGAGCCAGACTCACATTCACTGTGAAGGTGGAGAAAAAGGCGCTGTGTATGGCGAACAGAAGGCACCAACCGGTAGCTTTTGATGAGGCAATCCTAAAGGAAAACATTTCTAGGGAAAATTGAAGCCTCCTGGACAACTGCAATGACGATTATGAGAACTTCAGTAAGAGACTGAAATGGTGTGTGAAATAAGCTGAGTGTGAAAGACCAAGAAGAGCTAGCAGAAGAATCTCGGAGAATACAAAGACTTTATTGGAGAAGACGAGGAAAATGAAAAGAAATGGCAGTGACAGGCTTGAGTACCATCACTTCAACA